GACCCGCGCGGGGGCCAGGGAGTGACCCGCCAACCTTGGGGACCGCGGGCGAGCGCGGTGCCGCCGACCTCTAGGACGCCAGGGGGCACAGGCGCCCCTGGCGCTGCCCAGCAGCTGAGGAAAGCAGGAAGGCCTGCCTGCCCGCGCCGGCGCCTAAGGTCAACTCCCTCGGCCGCGGAGGCGCGCTCCCAGCCCCCTCCAGAGGCGGCTCCGGGCGCCGGGACAGGGAGGACCCCAGGAAAGGGCCACGAGCTGGGGACTCAGCTCGTCACAGTGAAGAAGGCCGCCAGGAGCTGCTGGTAGGTCAGGCCAGGCCCCGCCGAGCTGACACCACCTGCGGGACCGGTGTCTGACCGCCGGGGCTCACCCCGCAGGCCCCTGCCCAGCGTCCCCTCCGGCCCAGCAGGCCGCGGACGCTCCCGGCAGCGGTCTTCGAGGTGTGTGGGGGCCGAGCACCGGGCACTGCCACGCCTTGCTCTCCCGCCTGCAGGGGTCCTCCAGCTGAAGACCCGCCCTCCTCGGAGGGGGCTCAGCTAGTTACTTGGGCATTGTCTGCTCGACAAAGGAGGGCCAGAAAGTACCTGGTTTGTGCTGCTGGGCCTGGGCCAGGGTGCGGGTGGGCAGGGGGGGGGTGCTGGCTGGCTCGGAGGCCCCAGGTTGTCTGAGCCCCCAGGTCAGGAGCATGCCCCCAGGTCCTAGGGCTCCTCAGGCGCCCCTGAGCTTCCCCAAACCGGGTGGGGGTGGGGGCAGGGAGGCCCCGCTGGGGGGGGAGTGAGCAGGCCGGAAGCGGAGCCTCTGAACAGGGCCAGCCCCTGGGAGAGGGTCCCCAGCAGTCCTCGCAGGGCTGGGGCATCTACGCCCAAACCCACTGGCGGGCAAGCCTGGGTGCCAGCCTGGGTGCCGCAGTGCTGGTCAGAGGTGCCCCGGACGCCTCCCCCTGGGCAGTGGTGGCTGCACCCCCCAGCCCAGGCACTGGGGTGGGAAGTCCACTCCCAGCAGGGCGAGTGTTGGGGGGGGGGATGGGCTGCCGAGCTAGCCAGAGTCTCCGGGAGGGAGTGCTTCCCAGGCCGGGGTGCTGCGGAGGGGGCTCCCCGCCTCGGGACTGGAGGGATTCTCCAGTCCTGGAGCACAGCCGGGACCAGGGAAGGGGGCAGGCGCAGTGGGGTCCCCACGCCCCAGCCCAGGGCCACCCTGAGCCAGGCCCCTCCTGCACCCCAGCTCACCGTCGCAGAGCGAGTTGTTTGTAAACAATAAATAATGGAAAGGGAGAGGTTGTCCAGCAGAAGCCTCCGCACGAGGCGCAAACCGAAGGGGGAGGGGCGGGTGGGGGAGGGGAGGGGCGCCGACGAGGGCGCGGAGATTCATTTCTGCCGGAGAAGCCCGGTGGCGAGTTTCTTATTATTTACAGGAAGGTGGTATTAGCGATTCAGGTGAGAAAGAAAGAAACACGGCCACCACGAGATCGATACAGAATTCAAAAACAATTATTAATGTCATTTGACTTGTGTTCTTTATATATCTCTCCCGGCTACAGACGCTAAACTGTCTGAATAATTTGCGTGGAGCCGCTATTCATTAAAGCCGAAGCCTCCCCTCGCAAGCAGCCCGGACGTGGCCGGCTGCGGTCCAGCGCGATCTGAGAACTGGTATTTTCATCTGTAAATTAAAGCAATTACGCAGCAGATATTATAGGATGCTACTGTGGTCCCCCGATAGTCATCAATCACCTTCAACCGAGCTGTCAGCGCGGCAGATTTCGTTTCTGGGAGGCAGGTTTGCAGCTGGGGAGAGGGCGAAAACGTCATCATTAATTAGAGGGTGACCCTGGGGCGATTCACAGGTCTGAACCCAGGAATCTTCCCGAACAAGTCTGCACAGCGCCGCGAGACCGGCTTCTCGCCGACCCCGGCAGGCCCAGTCCCAGCGGCGGGAGCCCGGCGCGGGGGACCCGCATCCCCGCCCCTTGCCTCTTGGTGCAGAGCCGCCCCAGCCTCCCATCAGCTGCAAGCTTCTCTGCACAGGGCAAGGAAGGGAGAGGCTGGCGGG